AGCATTGTTCTTACACATACATCTTCTCTAGTTTTAAATTGATAGCAACAACCTATAAACCAACGAATTAAACCAATATTTAATAATCTAACAAATGAAAAGAAAATGTTTGTTTGATTTACGAACCTTTTATTTTGGTATTTGCTTATTTTATCTTAATTTTCAGGCAAGTAGTTTTAAACATATATTTAGAGATCTTTAACTTTTTTTCCAGCATGAGAAGAAGCACTTACTTGAAAACTTGAGAATGTTACTCACAGTTCCTTTTTAAAACTAATAATATCGTTCTTAAAGAAGCTTTTGCTATTGGTGAGGTAACAGCTGCTGCTACTTGAATCTGACAAAAAGAACACATTTACTGGAAAAAGTGAGAAACCCCGGTATTTGTAGCTGTACATGGAGCAAAAGCAAACCAAATCTTTGAGTTTTATAAAGAATGCCAATACATTTATAAGGAACCATAAAGTAGCCGAGATATGGATTGATATATATATGAACCATACACGCCTTCTCTTTGGTGAATGTAATTTGCACCCAAACATACTGGAAACCAAATGAGCAAATAAAAAAACTAACCTCCAATACCAAAACCTAAAAGAAAAAGAGCACAACTAATCATAATATTACAATGCTCGTAATACACAGCTAAATGAAAAATCTTGAAGAATACAAGCAGTCAAAAGCTCAAGCTTACAATCTACAATAACTACCAATAAAGATGATCTTTTTTATCCTTTCGCTTATGGAATAGAAAACAATTAAACCTAACCAATGAAAATAATTATATAACAACAAAGTAATCTTCATTAAATAAAATCATAATTTTATACATATATTTTAAAAGCAAAAGCCTTGCGACCTTCTCAAAGTCATCATGTAGTCTTGATTCTTAGAGTAAATGGAGGCAGAAAAATATATCAGATTTAACGAAAAGAAAATCTAGAACAAAACCAACGTATACATCGGTTTTCTTAACTTTTCAGATAAAACCTAATATAAAATCTATGTGTACCATAATGAAACTTATCGTTCCTCAACTTAGATAACACAGAGATTCACATATAACCAAGATGAAAAATATAACTTATAAGAAAGAGAAATTTAAGTGCTTTTGAGACAGAAACGATGCCTTATGCTGCTTAACTAACAACGTTCATTGCAAAAGAAATTGTTTAATGAGGCAATAAACTCCACATGATGACCTAAACTATTAACCAAAACAAAAGGAGAAGTTTCTAAATCTATTTTGGTTAGAAATACTTACCTGACGTGGATGATCTTAACACTGGTTTCCTTGGTGGGTTGGTAATACAACTGAGCCATAAATAACCTACGCAAGGCTCAAATAAAAACAACATAGGTTCATAGTAAGAATAAAGAGCAACACCAAAACACCATAAGTAGATGGATATGCATTCTTTTATCATGCATGTCACAAAACATTAAGATTTGTTTATATTACATATATTAATATTAAATTATATATCTCACTATATTAAAAACATTTGTTAGGATTTCAAAAATAAACGCAAATGAAAAGAAAATTGTTATTTACATCGTGCATTTGATAATGCTCTATTCTTTTCAAAAACGATGTGTCTGCAATCGAAAGTGAAGAATTATACATTACTTGCAAGCCAAGTATGTGATAACATAAAACTAATCGCAGCGGCCATCTTAATAGTCGCCGTATTTTCGAGCGGTGACACCGACACCCGCAAGAGTAATTTAGCGGCATCTCATTTTTATTTTCCACATCTCTTTTGTCTTGTCGCAGCGACACCGTGACAAACATGGGTTATATTAATAACAATTATCATCATGAAATCCTTTCAACCAAGGCACAATCAACTTAATTTATTAATCTACAATTAATCTACAATTTGTGAGTAAGAGTAGATGTTTTTAATTAAGCATATAATTTTAAAGCTATTATCACTGTAGAACCGTAGACCCATAGGAGTAATCAACAAAACCTATATTGCTGCACATAAATTTTTTTTTTAGCGAAAGACATAGGAGAATCATTTGTTGTCATTTATTTAAAGCACATGTCCTTATCTTCTTAATAAAATATTCAATGCAAAAAACTATAGCATTTGATAGTTCTGTTGGAGGAATAGGAAACCGAAAGAGAACCAGTTTTGTGGCAAAAACGTTATATACATATTCAAATTCGTGGACATGTGAGCACAAACATAAAATACATAGGTTTCTTCTCCTATGAGCTCTCTCCGTATCTAGTCTATTCTAAAGATAGGATAAAGTCTAATGATATATATATTACTATTCTTGAAATGTATATAAACTTGTGTCATGATGTAAGATATAATAACCAACAAAACATAAGCGTT